CACATGCTCAGATTTAGGTGCATGTACATTAAACTCTATAAGGCCAAATTGATGCAGAGTAGTGCGAAGAAATAATAACGTGCAGTTAGTGCACAGTGAAGTGAACGTACAGGTAGTACTAAATTAATATTAATAATGTACAATGATGTGCAATTAATGTGCAGTAGCGGCTCAGGTTGCTGCGGAAGCGCATGTACACCGGGTGACTCGGCCAGGAAATCGTCTACCACCAGAACCAGATGGAAGAATGCGAAGAAACGACCATGACATTTTAAGCATTACAAAAACACCTTTGCGGCACTTTGCTAAATTCGATGCATACCAGAACATAAGGCAGATACGATACTGCAAGTAGTGTAAGTTGGCGAACAAAACCATTCATATGGCCTGGGAATTTACAGATGTAACAAGATTACACAGACAATGTCTACTCAATAACAAAGCAGAGAACAAGATGGAGGCGCTGCTGTCTAGCCCGAGTTTACCGAGAGCCAACTATGCAGATGGGGAACAAGTTATCGCTGTTAGTTAACGCTCATGGCTACATGGACAGATTAGGCAGCCCACTTCCCGGCGCGAACTGTCTGAGTTTACGTCACTATTTCTAACCATTCCAGTGTGCCTAAAAACGCGTTCGTAGTTCTTACGCGTGAATTTCATGAATTTTAAAGAAAAAGAATTAACCAAGAGTGCGTGATGGAAAGAGTGACGCAGGATTCGCGTTTTTTTTTTTTTTTGTAGCTGTCGTTCATATCGTTCCACTGTTTCACGTCGTTCTTGAAGGGTTCTCTAAAGGCAAGAAAGAGAGGTGTGAGACAACTGTGTTTCTGCCGCCGTCAACAAAACGTTGACTCCTTCGCAGAAAATCCCGACGGTCGCCGTCTGCTCACCCCGCCGCGTTTTTTTTTTTTTTTTTGCAATGCCTCGTTGACTCACTGCTTATTCGCGTCCGCGCGCGCCTTGCGACCCTGGGCCAACTTTCTTTTTCGTGACTCACGTCATTATCGTGGTCTTCTCGCAGTGAGCGAGCGAGCATGCGACATAGGGCGCAGACCTCTTCCACCGAGGCGCCTTTGATTACGTCACTAGAGTACTTTCACGGAGTGTCACGTTTCATAAACCACGCGTGTGTGTGTGTGTGTGTGTGTGTGTGTGTGTGTGTGTGTGTGTGTGTGTGTGTGTGTGTGTGTGTGTGTGTGTGTGTGTGTGCGTGTGTGTTTCGCACGTAGAGGAGGAAGGCCTGTGTTCTAAGCAAGGGTTACAATGTCCGCCAAATTCATCTGGTGCACACGTTTCATTGTCGGCAGAGTCAACCGAGACGGGAGTAGCTGATAGAGCGAACGCATGGCTGCTGCTTGGTTGGCTTGGCCCGCGCCTACATACACAAACAGCGCATGCCGGCGGAAAACTGATGTGGTGGTGTTTGCTGGCTAGAATGTCACGGGCCGGGTCGCGTTGTCTTCTTTGTCATTCCTGCACAATGAGTAGCTCGGTCCATAGTCGTACTGCTCATATAAAGCTTTAAAATAGTTGACTGTTGGCCGAGTTCCGCCAGACGGTGTACTGCCTCGATGACCGACTCGGGGGAAAACGAAAGAAATCTGAATGAGCAGCAGAGAAGTCACCTCGCTGACCGCTTCATGGCGTGCTCGCATTGTGAACCGCGGTACCGATTTTCATAAACCCGAGGCAGATGTAGACGAAAAATGGCTCGCGAAACATCAGAAGCATTGTTTATTAGGAAAGCAAGTGACAAGTTCGTGAGCGACTCTTCCATTGATTTGTACAGTGCTGAACCTCCCCCCCCCCCTTTTTTTTTTCTCGCGCCTTGTTTGACTTTTTAAATCTATATTGCTTGTAGTGACGGTGCGCAAGCACAGCTGGTGGATGTATAGAGGTGTGGATCTGCCTTCAATAAAACCAGTTGTTAGTGTGCGCCTGTGCTTGTCAGTTGTTTCCTGTTGGGATTCGATTCCGCGACCTGCGGGTCAGCAGCCGAGTACCTTAGCCACTAGACCACCGCGGCGGGGCGTTTCCTGTGTGTCCTGTTTAGTTGTGCTTCTCACGGTGCTTTCTGTGCTCATGCACAAACGCGCACATACAAACACAAACACAGACGTACATAAAGTATAGTTGACTCACCGCCCACCTCCCTTCTTATTGGCGAGACAGCGCCAGTGACACTCAGGTGAAATGGCACTTGTTCAACACTCTAGATGAGGGGCCTCAAATTCACTTCAGCCAGTGCGCCTCACTGGCTCACTTTGGTTCAGCAAGGGTCGGAGCAGGGAAGGAGGTGGGTAAGAACAGGGATGGTATAGGTTCGGGGTAAGGCCGGGCATGAGTTATGCTGCGGAGCGTCATCGTCTTGGGACGTGGAGTGTACGAGCGCAGGCTTTCCCCGTGCACCATGTCGGCCTGTTATGTTTAGGCCAACTGAACAACCCCAGAGTTCAGTTATACTCTTAGGCGGAACGTGTAGGACCGGGCTTGAGTTACGCCGTACAGCTTCATGGTCTTGAGACAGGAATGGATGGTGCCGACGACAGGTCACGTTTTCCTGAGGGTCGGGCCCCAAAACTCGTCTCCGGTAACCGAGGTCTTGCGCCGTATACAAATCGGAGATTGTACTGCACCCCTCCACCTCTAACGAAATATCAGCGCACTTGAGGATCTGCCTGCGCCCGTAAGAATAAGAGAGCCCCGAGCCGGCGGATGCCTGCTCTTTGGAATACGAGCCATGGGTTATAGGGGGGCAGTTGGAGACCGATGCCAGCATCGTGGGAAAGCGCCCAACGCCATTCGCGCTGAGCCAAACTGTTCTTTCCCTTACTCCGTTTTTCTCTCCCCCTCTTCCCCTCTGTGTTTTTCGACTGTAAACACCGCACGACGGGGCGTGGACGGGCAGTTGGGGCTGTTACGATGGTGTGGTAGAACGGCGAGGCCCTGTGCTGCGTACTTCCTCGCATAGCCCTGGGCTTTAACACCAAGTGATGTGTAGAAGAGCGAGGTCCTCTTAATCACACCCACTACTAAGTGCAAATCAGGCTTCCCACCTGCAGTTACCCTACAGAAATGTAATACCGCTTGCTCATAATTATTGGATGTGTCCTGTCAAATACTTCCTCCCCCCCCCCTTCCCCGCCGAGCTACATTACCAAGGATATCTCGCGTCTACTTCGCGGCAGGAAAAGAACCTTTAAGCCTAGTTCACACTGAAACATCCGCTTTCTACAGTGACCGAAATTACCCTGCCGCCGAAACGCAGCGTTGTTCGCACTGGACGCGCCCGAGCCGCCGAATATGCCATCCACCACCGGGCGAACGCGGGATGGATGCGCTGTCACCCGGTTGTTGTCACGGCTCGCAAATGTCACTACGATATGTGGTAGTGTATACTTCGATGATTCTCGTACGCAGGAAGCAAGAAAAGACAGTACTGCTTACTTTGCTGGCAAGTGGCTGTCTTGTAATGCACGAAGAGCAGAAAAAACCACCGACGCCAGCGGCGTTGGTGGTTTCGTTTTGCTCTGCAAGACCGCAACAAGCTCGGTCACGCCAACAGCAAGCTCGGTCACCTCTTTCACGAAATACGGAGGCGAAGTAGGCACAGAGTAGGTTAAACTCCCGTTGGTTTCAACATTCAGTTACGTGCACTGCGGCATAACAAGTGGGTAGGGCTTGGCCGCCATTTTTCGAAATTCCTTGACTAGCGCTACTGTTGGTCCGCTGTGACCGATTCGGCGGCAGACGCCGCAAAAATCGGTCCGAGAGCGATCGGCGCGGAGAGGGCCCTTTCGGCGGATCTCGCCACCGCCGAACCAGATTCGGAGCACTTTCGGCGGCCGGAATGCTCAGTGTGAACGCGGCCTTACTGGGGGCATTTTGTAGAAATGATCAGCTAACCTTATTATTTGAAAAAAAAAAGTAAATCTCTTCCATAGCCATGCGCGTCTCATTTGTGAAGGATATTTGGCGCCAGGTTTCCAACATCTCGATAGCGGTCGCCTGACTAAAACCTGGATGCGACTCGGAAATGCAGTTTTAGGGGCGTAGCTCTTTATGGTGTGGGTTAGTCCTGCGTTGGCGTCCGTCATAGGACGGAACGTTCACGGTTTACCCATGAAACCCTCCCATGCTTCGCTCCACTAATCATTTACTCCGTGAATATGTTGTGATTTTTTGTTTTGTTTCACAGTTATACCTGGAACACACTGCTACTACTTCATGTGCCTCACGAAAACAATGCTTCAGACCAGTTAAGCCTATCTAGCACACGTACTTATCACGTGTTTGAGACTCCTGCTCGTGATGACTGATCATTGGAAAAGAGAAATTACATACTTTCGTACATCTGATACGGTACGTATAAATTGTTTATGCATTGTCGTGTTGAGGAATAACATGAACTAGAAAACTAAGCCAAGCTAGACTGCTCGGACGCGTGCAGTTAGTTACGCGGGACTTGGTATGTGAGCATTGCAGTCGTCGTATTCCTCTGTCCCTTTTTTTTTCTTGCATTACTATTTTGTCATTAAAAAACCATTGACAAGAAAAAACGAAGCACAAGGGAAGAAACACTTTTCGAATAGCGTACGCAAAGCTTTGCGTTAGCTTTTCGCGCCACTGCGCGTGCGCCGTACGCCAACCGCTTGCGGGCTCCCGTTAAGTCACCCAAATAGCGGGTGAGCGAAACCAACGCCAACCTAGCGTACGCTATTCGAAAAGTAAGCGAAGAAAAGCTCAGGACGAGCACTTATCCTGTGCATTCCTTCGCTTGTCATCTCACTTGACGCTGTTTTTTTTTGTTGTTGTTGTTACAAATGTGCGATAGATCAGCTCAACGCACCACACGTTTACATTTTTTGCGTTACTAAGCCTAACGAAAGCGTTAGGCCGTATACGTTCGTCGCCATCAGGGAGGTTATACTTTAGTATAACCTCATTGGTCGCCACATTGCGTACGTTGACGCCCCCTTGCGGTCCTTCTTTTGTTCCAGGGAGCGGGGGTGGAGCAGCCTTGTCCCCTCCGCCAGGCGGCGTCGTCGGCGCAGATGCACGGCGCCGGGGCAAGTGCAAGTGGTTCAACGTGGCCAAAGGTTGGGGCTTCATCACCCCGTACGACGGCGGCCCCGACGTGTTCGTCCACCAGGTACGTGCACCTTAAACGACACCCGTAGTCACCGACATCATCAATACAGTGGCGAAACAGCTTAAAGTGACGGAAGGCTGGTGAGTCGGTCGTTCGCCATCACTGAAACTATAAAGTTTCCTGTGGAACGAGGTCTATTATTGACAAGTAGCATTTGAGAAGGAGATTTATGGACGATAAAGGCGAGAGGGGAATACCGGCACAAGCAATCGCATGAGCCCGCACGAACAGCTTGCGCTCAGCTCTTTCAGTCATGACAGTACCCCACTGGGGCGTAGTGTTTTTCTTTTCCTCCGTACACATACAATATTTAGAGAAAACTGTGGCGCTGCGATCGTTCAGACACCATTGGAATTGTGGGTAGTACATGTATTCACTTAGTCTTTGTGCTTGTGGCTTTAAATGCACTCGTAGCTTTGTCTATTTATGTGGGTTGCCTTTTGTTTCGCACAAAAGAATGGCTTGTTTTTAAACTCAGTGAGCCAACTTGCTTCAGCCTAAAGAGGTCGCGGTTGTGAAGTGGCACGGTTGAATTCTCTTGATTTTCGCCTTGCGGCAAAAGCGACTGCTGGCCACATAGAGCCAAAAGAACGAATCAAGAGGGATGGTTCTAAACCATGCGCGTGCTACCTATCATTCGCGTGTTTGGTGAAGTGTTGCAGCTCTCATATCCAGCGCCAGGTTTCTCTCTAATAAAATGAAACTCCATGATTTGAACGAGTGCGCTTTCGCTACGAGCGGTTGTGTGTAGTATAGATCCAGTATCGTAGTCTGAATTTCACATTAGAGTGGGTTCTTGCATAGAGTTCGCAGCACATCAGGCCACACCACGGAGGACGAATCTCTGCAGCCCGCACTATATAGCACGGAACCGAACAAGCAGATCGATGAAACGTGAACAAGCGGGGACATAAACGGAACGTGACTATATATGAACTTATCTCTGCGTTTTCGGGATGATAGCTTCGAGTGACGTCATTAGAATGCGAACCAGGGGAAGGTTTACCGCGGAGTTCGCGCTGTTTGCAGCTCGTATTGTTACGGGCGCGACTTCTCTCTCTGTGTTGTGCCGTGCCGTGCGTCGTACACCTATAGCTTGTTACGATTTATAGCCGCCCTTGAGTCGCTTCGTCGCATTTGCCGCCTCAACACGGCTGTAAGGCTAAAGGTACCTTCACTCGTTTGTCTATCGCAGAAAGGATCCTTTTGCGCAGCGCAGCTAGTTCTGCTATGTTCTATATACGAGCGGCTGGGATTTCTTGATGGATACCTCCTCTGGTTTACGAGCGACTCGAGGTATACGTCTACGTGGCATGCACATTTGGGTCGTTCGCGTTATGACCGCCTTGTTGCAGCGATGCCTGGCAGGATTCAAATCGAAAAACCGAAAGGAAAACTCGTTCATTCGGGCTGTAGTTTTCGTGTACAGCGTAGCTTTCACCCTTTCCTGCACATCGGCCGCTGCGGCTCAGAGGCTTCGCTGCCCTGCTACCGACCGCATACGGTGGACAGCACAACAGTGCAGGATAATAACCTTGACGACGATCCTACAAAGGGACCATAATGAACTTTTTGAAGACCTGCAATGAACACAAGGGGGATTCACTGCAGGAAACTCACAGGATTGCTGAAGCGATCTGTTACCTATGCTGGTTCACTTAAGGAACTGCTTAACACCGAATTAAGCAAGTTGAGTGCAAGCGAGTCAGTACAGAAGCTGGCAAAGTTGGTGAGAGACCAGCCGTTACGTAGAACTACATTCTGTTAGAATGTGAATGCGTGAGAAGCCAAGAATTCCACTAAGAAAACCGTAATAAGTGCCCCTCGACCAACGTTACTATTCTAGTAACGCTACTCTCCATAGCACACGGAAACAGCTAATTTCGTGCACTACGGAATCGGGAATAACAGAATGGGCTTACGGGCATCATCGTTCAACTAGACCCAAAATTTCGAAGGGAGTACAAGCATGCGCTATAGCTCTCTGAATGTCGAGAAGAGCGGAGGGCCGCTACGATGAAAGTTTGATGCTCCTAATAGAGAACTCTATACGCACGGCTATGTTGACATATACCTGGGATGCGAGGCTATCAATATATTGCGTAGCGCTACAAGAATAAATGTCGTGTGCAAGCGCTCTCACGTGTATAACGTGCTTTCGGATACGCTTCGTATAGTGCTACCGTTGATCGTCTTAAAACTTTAGCGCTAGAAACTCGGCAATCACACTACAGAAGTGTGCACGCGACTGTGGCCGAGGCGCTGCTGTGGCCTAATACCAATGGCTTGAGGAGCGGGCATTTGTGTCAGCCCAAGGTTACTTAATTGGTCACGTGATCACTGGTTTCCTTTTCTATTTTCGGTTTGCGAGCCATTCGGCAGCGCGCTAGCAGAAGTAGAAGCAAAGTCAGCTTTGTTTCATGGGTTCATATAGAGGATCGAAAAAGGCTAGGATCTAGTTGGATCAGCCATCCTTCGATTAGTTTGCAAGCAACCGAGATAGCGTTCCGTGGAGGCCCCGCCGCGGTGTTCTGGTGGCTAAGGTACTCGGCTGCTGACCCGCAGGTCGCGGGATCAAATCCCGGCTGTGGCGGCTGCATTTCCGATGGAGGCGGAAATGTTGTAGGCCCGTGTGCTCAGATTTGGGTGCACGTTAAAGAAACACAGGTGGTGAAATTTGCGGAGCCCTCCACTACGGCGTCTCTCATAATCATATGGTGGTTTTGGGACGTTAAACCCCATCTTATCAGTGTTCTGTGGAGGAAACGCGCTGGCTTAATGTGCTGTTTAAGCAATATTCAAGCGAGTTCATGAGATCATGTTGAGGGTTATCGGGAATAAGCGTTTAATAAATAGGGAGTTTCTGAATAAAAAATCTGTTGGTCGAGCGTCGTCCTGACTTACATCTTTCTTTTGTGGTACTCTTTTGGTGCCAATACAAGTATGAATCTATGTATGAATCCGAACCAACTCGCCCAACTTTCCGCCGCGTTCACGAAAAAAAAAAGTTTCGCGTAAAATGAAAAAAAGTAAAGAAAGGAACAGGCAACTTAGACGAATACCATGCGTCTGCGCTCTCGGTGTCACCCTCGCAGTGTTCGTCCGTCGCCGTCTTAGAAACCTCAGCGGGCCATAACGACCAGGGGGTGTCGCGCGAGCAAGCTCTGCCGTTCCGCAGCCCCTGGTTCGCATCCTGCTCCACAGACCTGACGTTTCCTTCCATTTCTTTTCCGCTAAAAACTTCGCGCGCTGGGACGCCGCTTGTGCAAACTGTTATTAAAGAAGAAAAAAAAAACGTCGCGTACCCCGCAGTCCTTCGCTTTTGCTCCGTGTCGCCTCCCCCGCTACAAGAACGTCTCTCCCCGCTTCTTCGAAGACAGCCGGCGCGTGCTAACGCGCACCACCGCCGACGATTCATTTGCGCGTCCATATGGTGCGCCGTCCGTGCGCGTTTTCATTAGTTCCGTGCACCGCTGTAGACGTAGAGAGAGAGCCAGTTTTTGATGAACTATGAATCTAATTATTCGGCTTCACAATGCGTCCTATGGTGCGTCCATGCGTTGTGCATGCTACGGACTACAACCATTGGAATGACTCGGAACAGTGTACGAAATGGAATGGCTCGGGGCCAATGGTCGTTGAAGCATGGCCAGTTCATGTGTAGCAAGTGCCTGGGCTTATCATGTATCGCATAGAAAAATCTATACACGGTGGTTTTCCCAACAGTTCACCCTGCGAGTCGCTGCTCTTTGACTAACTGTTACTGCATTAACCACTAATTACAGACCACAACCAACACTTCCCAACTGCGACCTATAGTAGAGTAAGAAACTAAACGATTATGAAGAAATGCCACTCCTAATAGTGCACGGTACTGTGGAAGATGACGTACGCATGCGATCTGTGGGGCGTACAGATGAAATAACGTACAGTGTTCGCGCACGTAGCGCTGGTAATAAAAGATGGAGGAAAGAGGGGTGTAAAACGCAGCTGCGTCGTCTGTGCGAATGTGCAGCAGCGTTGGGGTGACTTATGGTGTTGAAAAACTGAGCGGGAATATTGTGTTTTCTGCTTCTTTCGCTAAAACGGGCCTACCGCGATGCGTCGCTGGTGTTCCCGCCGTCGACGATTCCTGGCACGTGACTTTGAAGTCAGCCTCATGCAACGACTCGGTTTGCAGCCCACTTGTGACGGACGGATGCTGCTCGAAGAGATGGGAGCGTTGATTATGTACGAGCAGCGGACGGGCAGGTGGACGGAAGCTCATATGGGGACATCTGGCTCAGCTTTGCCTCTGAAGCTCGTCCCTTGGCATAATACGAAAAGCGAATGAGAAAATCACGGCCTGTACACGTAGAGAATGATGGTGAGCGGGCGAAGCAGTGAGAGCGTTCGGTGTTACCGTAAATCACCCGTGACATTGAACACTCACGCTTGTAAATGAGTGACAAAGCGGTGTACAGTTAAATACGAGGTTTATAGTTCACAAATGGTATCTTGTGTTGAGTTGTGAATTTCGTTTTGCCTGCAATATTACTGCTTTGTTGTATAACATCTAGCACGAAGTTGGCAAAGACAAGATCTGTGTATACGTTCACCTAATGGTTGTTTCCAATCATGCGAAAGGCGTCGTAGATGATCTCGAGACATCATATATTGCACAAGCCAGTTGTTGTCCGTGATGATCATCGTCATCAGCGTCATCGCCATCATCATGGCGTATACTGGGTACTTTGCATGTGTTTGGCTACGGCGAACGCCAGCGGACGCGCTTCGATCTTAAGGAGCTTCACCCCTAAAACACACGAACACATTCATTCGTTCAAAAAGTCTAGGAGAATGATTAAAGGACCCACGGATACAACCATCAAGGTAGATTTGTCGGCTAGGCCCGAGGTTTGTTTCTCGGAGGTTGTGACGAAGGCGCCAATGCAGAAATGGACAAGTCTTGATCGCGTTGAGAACTTCTACTTATCTCTGTCTTCCTGGGTCGCTTCTAC